ATCGATTCGCGTGGGGCCCTCTGCAATGTAATGAAGCCAAGATGATGGCAATCGCCATGAGCGCGGCCATCGTCATGGTAATGGCGGGGCGGGGCGGGGCGCGGCGCAGCATCCCCTCTGGACCTTTTTAGCAGGCGACGGCAGCCGGGACTATCTGATCTCGCATCGAGCCAACCCCGCGGGGGGCTCCACGGCGGCCCTCTGCCGCCCGTCGCCCTCTCTCTCTCTCTCTCTCTCTCTCTCTCTCTCTCTCTCTCTCTCTCTCTCTCTCTCTCTCTCTCTCTCTCTCTCTCTCGCACGCCCTCGGGACGGCCCGCGAGTGCGAGAGAGGCGGAGGCCGTATTTCACTGAGGACCGTCTGAGGCTGCTCCCGATTCCCAGCCGGGGTCGCGGCCAGAGAGATAGAGAGTCTCATTCAGCGACGCGGCGGCGCGGCGACGCTTTCTCGCGCGTGCTCCATTTCACTATTTTTTGGCAGTGCTGTCTCCTTTTTTTCCGCCTCCCCGCCGCAATATCGAAATCGAGCGCGATGCAGTGCGCGATTGCGCCGCCAGACTGATTCCGAGGCCCGTCGCTCCGTCTCTCTCGCACTCACGCGGCGTCCCCTGGCGGTGCGAGAGAGACGGAGTCATTCCGCAGGGCGCGCACCATTCACTCGACTTTTCTCGCTGCTTTTATGTTTTTATTCCTGATGAAGTGGGTTTGCTTTGTGTTTTCCGCGGTTGAGATCTTCTTCTGCTTCTCCTCCCCCTTTTTTTTCGGCTCGCGTTTCGTCCGCGGGCATCCGCGGCCACGCCTGCCCCGAAAGGTGAAGGAGAACAATGCGACGCTGGTTTGATTTTTACCTCGGGGATTAAATGATAAGCGCTGCTGTTCTTTTCATCCTTTCTCTCTCTCTCTGTCTTTCTTCTTCCGTCCTGCCTCCGCCTCGCCCCCAATTCGCGTTTCCAGGGCGGTTAAAGGAGAGTTAGGGCGCGGCGGTCGTCTCGCGCGGTGGCAATGGCTTTTCGATTTACAGCCACCTTTGACGCGCGCGACACGAGCACCATGTTTACACCTGGACAAATTATCTAAAGGGGGACTGGAAGCGCGGTAAGGTTTGGTTGTGTTTCAGCGAGGCAAGCCTCGGAGGGTCGACCCTACCATAAATGTGCCATCCACGCCGCCGCCAGATAGATGGATAGATGGTCCGACCCGAAGGCGTCTTCGGGGTCGCCTGTCTCGCCTTCGGAGGCTCCTTCGGCCACGCGGTCGGCGGCTGCCTGGAGCGGTCGGACCCGAAGACGCCCGAACCGGAGCCGAAGTAGAGCCGATTGGTCGGACCTGTGTCAGGCTCGTCTTGAGAAGGGTCGGGCGGGCCATTGACAATGGTGCATGCAGTCGGGCCTCGGCACGCTGAGACAGCCCTCGCAGCCAGTCCCCCTTTAGATACTTTGTCCAGGTGTTTACAGGCCGGCCGTGTCCATACCTCGCTGCACCTCCACCGCACAGTGGGCCAGAAGACCGGTGGAGGCGGCCAAAACTCTATGGACGCGTTTTGAGCTCTAGAGTCGCTAAACGGGACTCGAACCGAACGTGTGACCCCACCAATGGATTGCTCTCCGAACGAGGAATCCGTTGGTGGGGTCACACGTTCGGTTCGAGTTCCATTTAGCGACTCTGGATCTCAAGACGCATTGAGAATTTTGGCCGCCTACACTGGTCTTCTGGCCCACTGTGCGGTGGAGTACACTGTAGCGCCGCTCTCGCTTTCATTTTCGGTCCGTTCAGTTTGCGTCCATTAATTAGTGCCGGAGAGGAAGTCCCTCTGCTTTTCGCAGCGCGGCACTGCTGCCTGCAGACTGATTCCGAGGGTCGTTTTCGTCGCGCTGTCTGTCTCTCTCGCACTCGCGGGACGTGCCCTGCAGGTCCGAGGGAGACGGAGTATAACGAGAACGACTCTCGGAATCAGTGTGCTGGCGCGGAGCTCGCCGCGAATGTTGACGTTGCCGTGGGGCGACCTGCCTCGCGGGCCTGCGTGGGTGTCTGTCTGTCTGTCTGTCTGTCTGTCTGTCTGTCTGTCTGTCTGTCTGTCTGTCTGTCTGTCTGTCTGCCTGTCTGACTGTCTGCCTGTCTGTCTGTCTGTCTGTCTGCCTGCCTGTCTGTCTGTCTGTCTGTCTGCCTGTCTGTCTGTGTGGGTGTGTGGCTGTCCGCCTGCCTGTCTGTGCGTCCGGCATGCACACTAGTATACAGCTTCCCTTTTGGCCACGGTACAGTACAGTCCATAATGGACAGATGCGTCCAGTGGAGCACCGGACGGACAGACAGGCAGGCAGACAGACAGACAGACAGACAGACAGACAGACAGACAGGGGGTGGGGGTGAGTAATTCCGCGTGAACAGGTGGCATTGTGGGTGTCGTTGATTAGAGGGAGTCCAGGAGACGCGGCCGCACATGGGACCACAGGGGCACCGCGCCCCGCCCCGCCAACGTGGCGACACAAGCCGCAGTCCCACTGCAGGCTGACTGCGAAGGGCGCTTTCGCCGCTCCGTCTCTCTCGCACTCGCGGGGCGTCCCGCAGAGAGAGACAGACACAGCGCTGCCCTTTTGGTCCTGCTGCAGAAATGTAATCATGGGCGGGGTGGGGGGAGCGCGCGGAGCGGCTGGTGGACCTGCTGGACTCGTTCCAGTCGGTCTGGACACGACACTGGACACAGTGACATGCCCGGAGCACGGCGGAGCGCAGCTCCGTGTCTGGACATGCGCGCTGGGGCCGCTGGGGCGCGGGTTCGACCCCCCCTCGCGGCCGCCCCTTTTTTAAGGGCGTCGTTGTTGGTTCCGGCCGTTCCGGCCCCGGGGGCATCGTAATTTGCACTTCCTCCATCGGCTTTTTGTCTGAGAACGCCCCGCCCCGCCCCGCCCTGCCCCGCCCCGCCCCGCCCCGCCCCGCCCCGCCCCGCCCCGCCCCGCGGTCTTCGGCACGACGTCTTGCGGCTTTGATCTCGGCTGCAGCAGACTCATTCCGAGAGTCGTCGCTCTGTCTCTCTCGCGCTCGCGGGGCGTCCCCTGTGGGTGCGAGAGAGACAGAGCGACGCGGAAAAGTCTGCAGCTGCAGATGCGGCAGCTGGTCCATCCCCACAGTGGTGCAGCCGACGGCTCATTGTCTATCGGCGTTTTCTCTCGGAGTGCCTTTGGACGTGACGACCGATGGAGACGCCAGAGACGGCCAGACGATCGCGATGTGTCGGAATGCGGCGGACCGATGTCGCTCCGTCTCTCTCGCACTCACGGCGCGGCCCGTACGGGTGCGAGAGAGACAGAGCGACGACGCTCGGAATCAGACTTGCAGCAGTCGCTGTTCGCGCAGTGTCGACGGTGCTGGAGGAGAACTAAAGAAAAATCTTCGTACCGAAATGTGAAAAATATCCTGAAAACCTGGCGTAAAATTGTGAAAAATTGGTAGTGTGCTCTCGCCGCGTTATCGTGTTGGAGTCGGTGCAGCCGGCCTGGAAGTACACTGCAAGTGGTGCAGCTGCAGGGCTGTCTCTCTCGCACCGCCCCGGCGGCCCCGCGAGTGCGAGAGAGACAGAGAGCGCCTCCTGGAGCGGGCTGGGGGGGGGGGGGGGGGTGATAAGGGGCTGCTTTGTTCCACGCGCTTCACGTTTTGGGCCGGAGGAGGAAGGATTAGTGAGGCTTTCACCGGCTCTGTCTCTCTCGCGCTCGCGGCGCGTCCCGTTCAGGTGCGAGGGAGACAGAGCGACTGGCCGGTGCCGTCCTCGCGATACCGCAGCGACGGCCTCACAACGAGCGGGAAACGAGAGCAACTGCTGTCGTCGTGTCTCGTGGATTTGGCCGGGATCGGATACTAGGGGCTCTCTCTGGGTTAGTTGTTGCAGTTTTGGCCCGGAATCGAGTCCGCGTCGTCTGCTGCACTGTGGAAGTTTTGATCGTCACTCGATGACAATATCAAGGTAGATTTCCGTGACGATAGTATGTCATCGAAACAATTGACGACATGGGAGCTTGATAAATAAAAATGGCACAAAGTTGTCGTCATTTTAAATTTTAAAGTGATTAAAATGTCAAGTCACTGTCACTTAGTGACCAGGCGGTTTTACAGCGTGCTGGTTCGAGGACTCGGATTTCGGGGGCTGGGTCAGTGGCGGTCTGTCCGAATGTGTCCCGTCGGCGTGCCTTGGCGGTCGCGGCGACTTCGCCTGCACCGCCTCTTTTTTTTTTTTTTTTTTTTTTTTTGAAGTGTGGAGGACCCTTTTGGGGCGGATTTTTCTCCTGCTGTGCTCTTTTCCCCTTCACCCTTTTTTCTTGTGTATTTTTATTTTTATTTTTTTTTCCGCCGCGCTCTCTTACTCTAGTGGCGGCGCGGTATGTGGCGGTGGCCTAAAAGCAAGGGGTCGCGTGTGCTCCCGGGACCACACTGTATATTGCGGAATATTTTGGCCTCGTGTGTGTGTGTGTGGGCGTGTGTGTAAGTGTGACTGAGTGTCGCCGAATGCCGCCGACAAGGCACACGCGAAATGCAACGTGAGCGTGTGTGAGTGTGAGTGTTTATTTCCATCCGCCCCCAGTGTGTGTTGCAAGGCGGTGCATGCGTATCACGTTTTTTCGACCTCCCCTAGCCATATCTCGCTTCCGTTTTGTCGCGCGCGGGTCCCGGACAGCCCTGGCCTTGCAGTGTGGCGACACCCGGCGGCCCGTACCAGTGTGGTGGTAGTCGCGTGTGTGGCGCAGCACATGCCGACGGATGCGAAATGGAAGGAAGCAGGCTGTAGGGGTACCGCCACACGTGCGCTACGCCCGCTCTCTCTCCCTCTCTCTCTCTCTCTCTCTCTCTCTCTCTCTCTCTCTCTCTCTCTCTCTCTCTCTCTCTCTCTCTCTCTCTCTCTCTCGCACACACACCTGCACCTACTTCTACACACACTGACACACCCTTCCTGCGACCGACTTGTAAGAAAAGCTGTGCCGGGCGAGTATTTGAACCCCGTTCCTCTCTGTCTGTTGCAGCGCTATGACGTGAGCGACGATGGCGGCGATGGCGGTGCTGGTGGCGCTGTGCGCGCTGCTGCTGCTGCACCCCACCCTCGCCGACGACATCCTGGTCAAGACGTTCTCGGACCAGGGGACGGAGCGCTTCAACCACCTGGTGGTGGACAAGAACACGGGCCGGGTCTTCATCGGCGCGGTCAACAAGCTGTACCAGCTGTCGCCGGACCTGGACCTGGTGATCGCGGAGACGACGGGGCCGAAGGATGACCACCCGGACTGCTCCGTGCTGCTGGACTGCCCGGCGACGATCGTGGTCAAGGCAACGGACAACGTGAACAAGGCCCTGGTGATCGACTACACGACAACGAGGCTCATCTCGTGCGGCTCGGTGTACCAGGGCATCTGCCACGTCCGCAACCTCCACAACATCTCGGACGTGTCGCAGGTGGTGAAGGAGGCCGTGGTGGCCAACAACGCCACGGCCTCCACGGTGGCCTTCATCGCCCCGGGCCCGCCCAACCCGCCCGTGTCGCAGGTCATGTACGTGGGCGTGACGTTCACGGGCAACTCGCCGTACCGCTCCGAGCTGCCCGCCGTGAGCTCGCGGTCGCTGGACTCGGGGAACATGTTCGCCATCGCGGAGACGGCCGTGACCACCGGCACGCGCCAGTTCCTCAACTCGCTGGCCAGGGAGCGCTACCCGATCCACTACGTGTACGGCTTCGCCAGCGAGGGCTTCTCGTACTTCATGACGGTGCAGATGAAGACCACCTCCACGTCGCCCTTCATCTCCAAGCTGGTGCGCGTGTGCCACGACGACGAGAACTACTACTCGTACACGGAGATCCCCATCGAGTGCGAGCAGTCGGCCGGCGGCGGCGCGCCCTCGCGCAAGTACAACCTGGTGCAGGCGGCGTACGTCGGCAAGCCCGGCAGCGACCTTGCCTCGGACCTCGGCATCACCGCGCAGGACGACGTGCTCTTCGCCGTGTTCTCCGAGAGCGACAACAGCGAGGGCGACGTGTCCATCAAGCCCTCGGCGCGCTCGGCGCTCTGCGTGTACTCCCTCAAGTCCATCCGCCGCAAGTTCATGCAGAACATCAAGAGCTGCTTCTCGGGCAACGGCAGTCGCGGACTCGACTTCATCTCGCCCAGCCACCCCTGCGTGCTCACGGTGAGTCGAAACTGTCTTATTATCTCGCCAGTTCGGAGACTTTTGGTGTCCCGTGCCCAGAGAGGAAGCACAGTGGGCCAGAAGACCGGTTTCCGGCCAGTTTTTGCGTTTTTGCGCACGGCCGGAGTGACCTCACGCGCACCAGTCTTCGATCAGTCAGTGGCCGCAGCAGTAAAGCCTCTGTGTGTGTGTGTGTGTGTGTGTGTGAGGCGGGGAGCTTACAACTGGCCTGGCCAGCCACCCCGCGGCCCACCAACCCCCTCTGGGCAAGCCCCCAAGAATCCCCCCCCCCCCTCTCCTCCCCTCTCCGTCCGGTCCGCTTCGGATCTGCGTAAGCTGTCCATTACATCGTCCTTCATCCCCCCACCCCCCACCCCTCCCGCAGCACGCGCTGCTCCAACCCCTGCCGTGTACACCAGCACACCGGGGTGGTGGGCTGCCTGCCTGGCTGGCCCCCAGGCCGCCGGCACTGGTGGTGGTGGTTTGTCCCGTTTTCGTTTAATTTCTTTTTCATTATTTCCTCCTCTTGGCGCTGTGTTTTTTTTTCGCCGGTTCTGTTCTCCCATTTTATTTTAAATGTGTGTGTGGGGGAGGGGGCGCGTGCGTGCGTGAAGAGCTATTTCCCGCGCCCAGGATGATGGAATAGGGCCCGTGCACCGCTGGAGGAAGAACAAAAACTCCTGGTGGGCATTTCCGCGCGAGCCTTCAAACTGGGACCCAGCTGGGGGTGCCTGTTTGTTGTATTTTATTTTTTACCGGTTTTAAACAAAGTGGCTAAGGATCGCGGCAGGTTGCGGTGTCGATTCACGATAATTGGAGAAGGAAACTGTAGTCGATTACGCCGAACCTTAAGCAAAATAAGTGAACTTGTGAAGATAGTGCAGGTTAGGTTGACTAAGATGTCTGCTAGGTCGACGCCATGTTAACTCCGCGCACCCGTCGCTGCTGGTGGGCAAACGAAACAGCCTTTTTCTGCTTTTCCCGATACGAGTATGCCACAAAAGCTCTCAACACGAGTCGGAAATTTTTATTTTATTTAATTCCGACAATGTAAAAGGTTGGATGAATTCCACTCACTTCTCAAAACGCGAAAACGCGAGAACCAAATTTGAACTTCGCGCTGCTTTCCCACCAGCACGGAAGGGAACGTTATGCGTCGTTTAACAGCACCGTTTCGAGATCCTCGACCTGCACGGGCCCTATTGGGCCGCGCCGCTTCGAGTGCTTCCAGTGCCGTATCCCTGTATTGTGGGCCGAGGACTGCTACGACACTGCAAGTGAGTGACGATTGGTTCGTTAAAGCGAGTCTTGTTGTTGCTGCTTTTCCAACGCAGTCTCGCCCCGTTTTGCACTGTTTTGCACGTCCTTTTGCTCGGCGGCGGCAAGGCCTTTCAATTGGTGACCGCCCCGGGGCCCTTCCGTAAATCACACCCGCGCCCTTTGCAACTTGTTAACGTTGTTGTTGTTGTTGTTTGGCACATTACTCACGTCGTCGACGGCTAGATAGCAGCACCGTAGCGCCGCGTAGCGCTACGTAGCGCGCCCCCGCGGGCCCGTGGCTCCCGGGCCTGCTCACTGATTCCGCGGCTGTCTCTCTCGCACTCATGGCGCGCCCCGCAGCCCCGCCTGGGTGCGAGAGGGACGGAGCGAGACGCGCGTGTGGCACACTGTGTGGCACTACTGTGTGGCACTACAGTGTGGCGGCGCGGCGCGCTTTTCGAACGCGCTGTCGCGTTGTGCAATTGGCGAAGTGGGCTGCGGAGCGGAACGGCATGGCGCGGGCCCTTGGGTGCCGCTCGCGGGAGAGAGAGAGAGAGAGAGAGAGAGAGAGAGAGAGAGAGAGAGAGAGAGAGAGAGAGAGAGAGAGAGAGAGAGAGAGAGTTTAGTTTTTAAAATTATTTATTGGGGGGATTTTTGTTTTTACAATAAGGGCCGGGACATGAGTTCAATTTGTCACAAATTATGCATGCAGTGTTCTGTGTTTATTTTAGTTTTTATGTTCTGCTGCAGTGTCTTTGTGAGCTTAGATAGAGAGAGAGAGAGAGAGAGAGAGAGAGAGAGAGAGAGAGAGAGAGAGAGAGAGAGTGCATAGCGGCGCAGGTGGCGGGGCGGGCGGCGGGTTTTCATTTGGGAACCTCGCGCCGTCCATATGTATAATTGCGAAGTTGTTTATACCTACGTGCGACTCTTTAATTTCCACCTGCACTTTTTAACCTGTGTGTGTGTGTGTGTGTGTGTGTGTGTGTGTGCATGTGAGTGTGTGTGTGTGCGCGCTTTCCTGCTGACATTATTAGGTGTGGGGGGTGGACAGGGCACCTGATGCGGTGGTGGGGCGGAGTAGCCAATCTGGGGACTGGCTATGACACACACACACACACACACACACACCTATGTAAATAGGCCCCCTGCAATTCTGCTGGACGCGAAGTGGCCCCGCACCGTCCCATCCTACCTGTGGACAGGACAGAGAGAGAGAGAGAGGGGGGGGGCGTGTAAAGGGTGTGCGCGCAATTCGAGAGTCGCCGTGACAAGGCGACAGACACACACACACACACAGCCCTTTCCGGTTGTGGGTGTGGTCATCCCTTGCGTTGTGGGCCGCCTTCCTGAACGGTTAGGCCCCGGGGAATGAAACGGGGCGGTGCTTTGCACTGTTTGATTGTGTGTGTGTGTGTGTGTGTGTGCGTGCGTGCGTGTTTGCGCGCTTGTGAGTGCGAGTATGCATGCGTTCACAGTGGGGTGAACATTGACTCGGAAGTTTGTGGCAGTTTATTGAAGCGGTACCTATCCTTTATAGTAGTTTGCATACACTGCTATCTGCACACACGGGAGGTTTTTGTTTTGTTTCGTATTGTTTCTGTGCTATAAACTTTGGAGATGCAGTTTGATTCATCGCCCCCGCCCCCTCTCTCCCTCTGCAGTCTGGATTGATTTAGCGTCGACTCTCTCTCGCTGGAGTGTCGCCGCGCGAGGCGACCCTACCTTGACTTGCCGCGCCCCGAAAGCCCCCCGCACGCACACACCCCAAAAGCCCCCCACACACCCCCAAGCAGCTCGTTAAAGCTGGATTAAAGCTCGCCCCGAAGTTGATTGTGGAGTCGCAAGGGTGCGAACGCCGGGGTTATCTCGTCGAGGCATACATCTTGTGTGCGTGTGTGTGCGTGTGTGTGTGTGAGAGAGAGAGAGAGTCTGTGTGGGGTGGCGGTGCCCGCGTGGATTCGTTGCCAGGGTAACAAGATGACGCTGCGGCGCGGTTGAGCCCGTTCGCTGTGCACGCTCAGGTTGTCGTGACAACGGAGTGCCCTCGTGCCGTGCCGTGCCGTGCCGTGCCGTGCCTCTGCCGGTCTTTGCCCGTATCAGCGTCGCACCTAGCATGGCGGGGCGTGGCGGGGCGTGGCGGGGCGCGGCGGGTCGCTGTGCCCGATGACTTCCACGCCATTGGGCGATGCCACGCCCCAGCACGCCCCGCCACGCCGCGGCCGGGCCTGCTCGCCACCTGGCGTGTCAGGAGCCTTCTCTCTCGCACCCTCGGCCGTGAGTGCGACGGAGACGGAGAGAGAGAGAGAGAGAGAGAGAGAGAGAGAGAGAGAGAGAGAGAGAGAGAGAGAGAGACGTAGAGAGAGAGAGAAAGATCCTTCTTTGAGGACAGCCGCGTTAGGTACGGCGCGCGCAGTAAGCAGATTTTAATTTAGTCCATGGAGCCATCGTGAGCCATCCAGCTCCATTTTAATAAAAGTGCGGGGCTTGGTCGGGCTTGGCTCTTAGCGCGGCACGGCACAGTGGGCCAGAAGACCGGTGGAGGTGGCCGAAACTCTGGACGCGTTTTGAGCTCCAGAGTCGCTGAACAGGCCTCGAACCGAACGTGTGACCCCACCAATGGATTCCTCGTTCGGAGCGCAATCCATTGGTGGGGTCACACGTTCGGTTCGAGTCCTGCTTAGCGACTCTGGAGCTCAAAACGCGTCTAGACTTTTGGCTGCCTCCACCGGCCTGCTGGCCCACTGTGCCGCGGAGGCGGACTCTAATTCGCCAGTGGAAAATGAATGTACTTCGGCGGTTGGCTTAGTGTCGCTCAGTGCACGTCCCCGCCTCAGTGCGGCACGGCACGCCTCGGCTGATTTATTTTGTACCCTCCTAAGGAGGCGCAATTTATCGTGGCTTGCCCGCCGTGCCACACCGCGCTGGACAATTTAGTACCTTATCTGATGAGTGGCCTCTAGGAGCTGCAGGCGAGCACGGCACGGCGTCGCCAGGCCGCCGTGCGGTAGTGTCTGCCGGCGTGTTTCCGTCGACCTCCTGGAGTAGTCCACTTTCTTGTCCTTTTCTGCTCCGTGGTGCTGCGGCTGAACCGGGCCGGCCGGGTTGGCAGTGCCGCCGCCTCGCGCGCCTCGAGCCTCGAGATGTGGATAAATTCGCCACAACCGAGACAAGAAAAAAAAGTGAGAAGGAATATTAATGTAACAGCAGCACTGAAAATAATTTGTATGGGAAACAAAATCGATAGCATGAATATGGTTGGAACCAAATCATTGAAACAGATTTTGTTTAGTGGAAAAGTCAGTGGCTCTTTCCTTAACTTTTCTTTTTTTGAAAAATTAAAAATTGTCATCGGTAGGCGCTGTTGGCGGTGGAGTTGCTTTCCCCTCGCTTCCGCCTTGTCGTGCAGTACGTCGTCGTCGTCCGCACAGTGGGCCAGAAGACCGGTGGGGGCGGCCAAAACTCCAGACGCGTTTTGAGCTCCAGCATCGCTAAATGGGACTCGAACCGAACGTGTGACCCCACCAATGGATTGCTCTCCGAACGAGGGATCCATTGGTGGGGGTCAGACGTTCGGTTCGAGTCCCATTTAGCGACCCTGGAGCTCAAAATGCGTCCAGGAGTTTCGGCCGCCTCCACCGGTCTTCTGGCCCACTGTGCTGCAGTCGACTCAATGAGGCCGGCATCCTGGCGGCATCTGACGCGTCATGCCGCCACAAAGGACGGCGTCGAGGAGGTCCGAG